TGCACAATCTGTAAACAATCCTACTTTGATAGTTCTCATTGCGTATCACAGCTTTTGTTGCTGCTTAGTTCAAATTAGCTATTGTCAAAAATTCAAACAAAAATGGCCTAATCGTGTTGTACCCTGTTGGTAAACCTTATAACGTTTTGCTATTGCATATCATAGAACCTCATAGAACCAACTTGTTTAGTTGAAACAGCTGACTAAATTCTTTAATCCTATACTCTAATACGAGCAATGTTTGCTTGTATGCTTGCTTGCTTGCTTGCTTGCTTGCTTGCAGAAAGATCTCGAAAACGGCTCCGACGATTTTCTTCAAATCTTGTAAATAGTTTATTTTTGGCCTAAAAACGAGTTTCATGCAGTTAGAACTGCCAACAAAAATCTAATTACGTAGAAAAATGAAACTGAAAATCACATTTTTTTAACATTAGTCTTATGGGTTGCTAGGTAACCATGTTGGATGAATTAAATAACAAGGATAAAGTAAACAAAAGACTTGAAGTTGTAGCATGTGTTCATAGTAAGCCAACTACCCACAGTATACTAGCAAATTACAAATACAGTAAAAAAGGAAAACGTCACTTAATAATTAGCATAATATTTAGCAAAGATTATACTGAAGATTACTCGATACATTGTAGGGAGTATGTTTTATAGTCTATGGTTTTATCTATGATTGTAGCATAGACTAACCAACACATGTAGACTTCTCATCCGATTGTAAATTTTGAAGCACGTTTTTCGTGTCTAGTTCATGTACGTGACACAAAGGCGCTAGTGTCGACGAAACTTTGTTTCTATTATTTTAGGGTTAATTTCTTGATTTGTGCTTTACTGTTTGGTTATATAACTAGGGGACAAGTTATTGTTTATGATTAGATCGTATTATTTGGTTAAACGAGGTTTTAAATGGCTGTAATAACAGGAAACAAATTGTAAACAAAACACGACCTCTACAGAAAACCGTACAGAACTAACAATAAAATTGGCTTCAGCTGTTCCATAAGGATGAGAAATCTACTAAGGGAGTATGTTTTATCTATGATTGTAGTCAAGGGCAGCAGTGCGAAGTCTGGGATCTGTTTATGACGATTAGATTAGATTAAGGTATCTGCAATCCTAAAATGCTATGGGAAGGGAAGGAAACAGGTCCGCGACATCAGAAGTGGTGAAGGAAGTAATAAAGGCAATCATAAAACGCTATGGGAATAGAGGGAAACAGGTCCGTGACGTAGGGAGTGATGAAGGAAGTAGTGAAGGCGAGCAGTCCGGAGTGTGGGGAATGTTTATGACGATAAGATTAGGGTATCTGCAATCCTAAAATGCTATGGGAAGGAAGGAAAACAGGTCCGCGACGTAGGAAGTGGTGAAGGAAGTAGTCAAGGCGAGTAGTCCGGATTGTGGGAACTGTTTATGACGATTAGATTAAGGTGTCCGCAATCTTAAAATGCTATGGAAAGGAAGGAAAACAGGTCCGCGACATAGGAAGTGGTGAAGGAAGTAGTCAAGGCGAGCTGTCCGGAGTGTGGGAACTGTTTATGACGATTAGATAAGGGTATGGGCAATCCTAAAATGCTACGGGAAGGGAGGGAAACAGGTCCGCGACGTAGGAAGTGGTGAAGGAAGTAGTCAAGGCGAGCTGTCCGGAATGTGGGAACTGTTTATGACGATTAGATAAGGATATGGGCAATCCTAAAATGCTATGGGAAGGGAGGGAAACAGGTCCGCGACGTAGGAAGTGGTGAAGGAAGTAGTCAAGGCGAGCTGTCCGGAGTGTGGGAACTGTTTATGACGATTAGATAAGGGTATGGGCAATCCTAAAATGCTATGGGAAGGGAGGGAAACAGATCCGCGACGTAGGATGTGGTGAAGGAAGTAACAAAGGCAATCATAAAATGCTATGGGAATAGAGGGAAACAGGTCCGTGACGTAGGAAGTGATGAAGGAAGTAGTGAAGGCGATCAGTCCGGAGTGTGGGGAATGTTTATGACGATAAGATTAGGGTATCTGCAATCCTAAAATGCTATGGGAAGGAAGGAAAACAGGTCCGCGACGTAGGAAGTGGTGAAGGAAGTAGTCAAGGCGAGTAGTCCGTAGTGTGGGAACTTTTTATGACGATTAGATTAAGGTGTCCGCAATCTTAAAATGCTATGGAAAGGAAGGAAAACAGGTCCGCGACATAGGAAATGGTGAAGGAAGTAGTCAAGACGAGCTGTCCTGGGTGTGGGAACTGTTTATGACGATTAGATAAGGGTATGGGCAATCCTAAAATGTTATGGGAAGGGAGGGAAACAGGTCCGCGACGTAGGAAGTGGTGAAGGAAGTAGTCAAGGCGAGCTGTCCGGAGTGTGAGAACTGTTTATGGCGATTAGATTAAGGTATTTGCAATCCTAAAATGCAATGGGAAGGGAGGGAAACAGGTCCGCGACGTAGGAAGTGGTGAAGGAAGTAGTCAAGGCGAGTAGTCCGGAGTGTGGGAATTGTTTATGATGATTAGATTAAAGTATTTGCAATCCTAAAATGCTATGGAAAGGGAGGGAAACAGGTCCGCGACGTAGGAAGTGGTGAAGGAAGTAGTCAAGGCGAGTAGTCCGGAGTGTGGGAACTGTTTATGACGATTAGATTAAGGTATTTGCAATCTTTAAATGCAATGGGAATGGAGGGAAACAGGTCCATGACGTAGGAAATGGTGGTGAAGGCGAGCCGTGTGGAGTTTGGGAATGGATTTATGCATCTCCAATACTAAGGTGCTTTCAGAGTGAACTAATGATTTTCCCCGAGCAAAGCTCGGTCCCCAGGTACTTCCTTTTAAATGTGAATACTCATAAGGTTAACAAAGGGAACCATAGAGCAACTGGGGCGGAGCCCGGAAGGATTTTTGAGATAAGAATAGGCTTATATGTTATTTGGGAATGTGAGCTATCATTATGTCAAATTTCAGCCCAATCCGTCCAGTAGTTAAAGCGTGATTGAACTTCAAACAAACAAACAATCAAATAAACACACAAACACACAAACTTTCACATTTATAATATTAGTATGAAGTATGATAGCCACAATTGGTTTCAATGCCGAATGTTTCGAAAGTGTTGCCTGTAGCTGAGTTTTGTTTCACTTTGCTTAAGCACCCCTTAAATAGTTTGTATGTAAAAACAGCAAATCCCTGGTATTGTCGCTGTTTATATCAATCATCAACTCTTAGCTCATCAACTTACGTACTAATTCTGTACTCCTTCTGCATTAAACTCATCCCTTGATCTATATATTCATAACCCAAGATACTGATAGGTATATGACAGATCCACAAAGCAGTCTAGAATATCCAGTAAACTATTGTAAAACTTGAATGCTATACTTAGACCTAATAGGTTTTTAGAGATTTTCTCTCTAATGGAAGAACGAGAAATAATTTAAACAATTAATAAATAAATGGCACTTACACACAATTTGTCATCTCTAGGATAATAGAACCTTCAATAATATTTCCTAATAAACAAATCATTTTCTGAGCCTGTGGTTCATTTTCCTTATAATGATCCCCTTGAACCTTCTTTGATTTACACTAGTAGAAAATATTCAAAGACTGGAAGTTCGTGGGCTGCTACACCATTCAAATCACTAAAGTGATTCCCATACGTAATTTCATCCAGTTTCAAAAATGATTGTCTTCTCACGGGTTTATCCACAATCGTAAAGACTAATTGTGAGACAACATCGTGAAAATAGACTTGTTCTTCTATAAGACTTTGTTGATCATCCATATTGGAATAATTAATTAGACAGGACCGTTTGCGATATTGGCGCGGAGGAGGGAGGAGGGAGAGGATGTCATGAAGATTACATTAGTCTGCAATATCCGCATCTCGGCTTACAGGTTATTGGCAGGCTTAGGTTAACAGGCTTTATTGTTTTTTAGATCCTCATTTCATAATATCGAGGTATATTGAGAAACAGTATATTTTAAGAGAGAACCCCCTTAGGATTTGGGCAAAACCAGGTTGATTTTGGGTGAATTGGGAAATAATATAACTTGTTTCATAAATAAAGTTTTAATTATAAATACTTAGTATAATTTATCAGTACAAAAGATTTAAGATATGTACAAAAGCTTATTTTTGTAGTGTTGTACGATGTAAGGTTACAAGCTTGGAGAGCTTTTGGATGTGCTTACAATATTTAGAATATATTTGATGCTTCTACAGGCTAGATTCGTAAATTTTGTTGATATAAATTTAACACATAAAATAATATCAGCTAAATATCAACAATGTACAAATCAGTTTTGTAAATACTATGGTAGTAATAATAGAGATCGATGATATTACGTGGGCTTCAAAAAATAGGAATCCATATGATTAAATGTCTATTGTACATAATTTGTCTTTATGCATCTGCATGCACAGATACACGTAATAAACAGACTTCTTAAAAAGAATTATATTTCTGATTTAAGTACTTGAAGTACAATATTAGTCCCCAGTATTTTATGTCATATGTACATTAGTGTATTTGATCTTGCAATCAAGTGTGGTGATTTCAACTTATAACTAAGAATTCCATTTTTTAAGCTAAAAAGGCTAACACTTATGTAAACAAAACAAAACCTAAAAAGATTGTTGATCTCAACACTTTCTTGGATTACGGTACCGAAGATAAGTAATTTACAAAAACTAGTTGTTAACAGTTACATTTTTAGTTTACTACGAATCTCACAAATTTCTAAAAAAAATGCTATCCAGTTACAGAATAATTGGGAAATGTTGAATAATCGCGAGTTGAGTTTCTTATTCTTAACATCATCTCCACTCCGTCAATTTCTTACATAGTCAGAGTTACGTTGGTAAATAAGTCAAAGGTTGAGTATTACCGCAAGTAGAGTTGGGTATTAGTGTGTCAGAGTTGTATGTTGGTATGATGACGTCACGATTGTTCTCGGTAGGCCAGCAGGTAAGGATCAGCTGAAGTGTAAGTCAGAGTTGTATGTTGGTATGATGACGTCACGATTGTTCTCGGTAGGCCAGCAGGTAAGGATCAGCTGACGCGACGTCAACTCTCCGATGATGTTCGTCATGACTCAGTTTCTTCAGCAGCGCTGATCCAGCCAGTGCTAACGCCACCTGCAACGTAGCATGGTCCTGAATAGTGTTATAAGGAGAAATGGCTGTCTGTGTACATGCGTGTTTGTTCTCGGTGGGTGCAAAACGTACTTGAATGGGTTGAACTTTGGCCGAAATGCACCATCAGGTCAAGACAAAGCCCTAACCCGTCTTATTTTATGTCCTACAAAGTGGAATACAGTACAGTACTATGCTTTTAGCCTGGCCAGTTAGTAGTGGAATTATTATTTCATAGACATCTACGTTTTTTTTATCCAGGATGTTTTACCCAATATTTGACACCAACAATAATTAAAAACTGAGATAACTATCATGGTAAATACTGATAATTTTGATTATATTACAGCTTATGACAACTGATAATTCACTAAAAATATTTAACCGGTTACTAATTTCAAAAGTAAAGGTATAGGAAGGAGTAGTTGGTCTTACAGTCAAAAAGTTTTAATGCAAAAGTATAAAAGGAGTTGACATAGGTGTAGGATCTCTTGCAAAATATGAAGGTAAATATTGTCAGTGGTTTTGTTTGAATTATTACGAAAAATGAATAGACTACAAACGAGTGATATAAACTCTAAAAGATAAAATCGTTTAGTTAAGGAATAATGTTTTAAGAAAGTATTGAAAAGTCAGTATAATACGAAGTAATCAAGTTAATACGATCAAAATGGTCCTTAGTTTCCTTATCTTTCCTCACCTTTGCTATCAGTAGAGCCTTCCCCGCTACTAGAGCCAAGCCCTGCAGCTTCAGAGGTATGACGATCGCTGCGACGAGGGCAGCGAGATACAAGTACTCCATGTACTTCTTCTTCTTTCCACGTCCATCTGTGACAGTTGCATGATCAGATTGTATTTGAATAATTTAAAATCAATTACCGGTAATTTAAATGTGTCATTACGAGTTATGCCAGTTCTAATTAACCTTCAATCCTTAACTGTCCGACAACAGAGTTACAGAGCCGTGGGATTCTCATGACGCAATTCCCGCAGTGCACGCGTGGCTCTGTATTGCTAAACAGCGCCGTTGCTTTTCATGTCTGCTAAAGACAATTAGGAAGGTTTCTTGTATACAGAATGTTCAAAAATGGTGGGGACATGAATCCTAGGGTAAAAAAAAGAGAAAATCAAGAATAAAATTTGTTCTAAAATCGCTTCATTAACTAGATATCCACTATTAAGAATAAGAATAAGAATAAGAATAAGAATCTTTATTACCCTTTAAACATTTTACAGTGCAATAGGTTTCGTCATTTGCTACATAATATATATATACATTTATTTCACATGAAATAGTAACAAAGATAATTTTATCAAATAAGTTAAGACAAGCTGGCCTGATTCTAATCTAAAATCTAGTCTACTAATGGCATGGTGAAACTCAATGCAAAAAATATGAGCAAAATACAAGTCAAAATAGAACGAGTACATGGAAACAATACTAACATGGCAAGATGATAAAAATTGATTTTGAAACAAATTGTCAAAGGTAAATAAAAATATGACTATATCAAAATGGTTAACATCAGAAACAAGTTACTTAAATAATATGACTAGAATGGCACAAAGAATTAAACAAGTTGGGGACATTGCGGTTGCTTTTCAAATATCAATTTTGAAATATCGCTTTTAAAAAACTCATCTAGTTTGTAAAAAGGGTGGCTAGTTAACCATCTGTACAAAGTAGTCTTAAACACATTATAACTAACATGGTGAGAGGTGTAATTTAGTTTGTTGAAAAGTGTTATACCTATGACTTCAAAAGAATTTTTTACCTTACTTAGTCTAGCAAAAGGAACATGAATCAAGTGAGAGCCTCTAGTGTTGTATGAGTGAACATTTTCATTTAAAACTAAACTACTGAATTTCCTTTTAACATGCAACAAACATAGTAAGATGTACATATTTAAAACAGTCATTATTTTACTATTAACAAAAAGAGGCCTACAGTGAGCTAGATAGGGTGCATTATTGACAATTCTAACAGCTCTCTTTTGCAAAATCAAAACATCATAGATATTACTGCCATTACCCCAGATAAGAAGGCCATAGGTCATGACACTCTGGAATAGAGCGAAGTATACCATTTTAAGGTAACTAATTTCAACAGAATATTTTAATTTCCTCAAGAGGCAGATGACCCTACTGAGTTTTTTGCAGACATTATTGATTTGGTGGTTCCAAGACAGTCTAGAGTCAAGAGTGATACCTAGAAGGTTAACAACCTTATCCTTATTGTTCTCAGAGCTCTTTAAAGAAAATAAAATTTTTGTGTTTTATCTAAATTTAGTAACAATATATTTGATTTGTACCATTCATTAGCTTCATCAACCATGTGACTTAATTTAAAATCAGTTTCATTAGCATTTGAACTTGGACCAAAAAAAGTTACATCGTCTGCAAACATTACAGAACTATAGCTAACATTGTATTCCAGATCATTGATCATTTTTTATCATTGTTTATCATTGATTATTTAGTGTTGTTTACATAAACATTTTTATCTTTGAGTATTTTTTAAGCGATCTTTATGGAACTTGGTGTGTTTAAGGTATAAGATACCCATGTTAGAAAAAAATATATCTTGATTTAACTTAAAATTTCAAAATAGTGGTCATTTTAATTTTTTTTTAGGTAAATTACAAAGAAATGGCTGATTTTATAGATAAATGTCATGGATTTTTAATCAATTTAATTTATGATTTTTAATCCCCTATCAAACGATATCAAGCTCAAAAATATCGAATAAGAAATAGTTTAAATATTACAGTTTTTAGTTTTAAAATGGGGTATAATAAGGCAACTAAATAACGCTACTATAATAGCTATTTACATTACCAAGTGTAGTAAGAGCGTTTTTACATCACGCAGGTGAATGTTATGCAACGAGCGGAAGCGAGTTGCATAATTCACCTAAGAGATGTAAACACGCTCTTGCGCAACGTGTAACGTACAAGATTTTACCTGACCCGAAAATATACATGGGTTTACGTACAATATTTTCATTATCCATTTCACTCATCGTCTAACAGTAACGTTCATTTACAAACAAAATCTAGGCTAGGAAAATACTTTAAAGCATAACGTTCAAGCGCACAGCTGATTTCTAGCGTTGAACGTCGATGCCAGAGGTATATTTGTTCAGTTAAGCACTCAATGTTATTTAAATGGGTTTCATTACATCACCGAGTGAGTTTTTTTCAACTTAACATCACTCGAGAAGTAAGGAAGTTGTATACATCACGCTTGGGATAGGGAAGTTTAACATGGCGGGTTAGGTAAAACAATTAAGTCTACTTGCAGCATCCAAACTCAATAATCCTAAAACCACCCACAAGCACACTTACCACCATTGACGTTTCCCAGCTCGATATTGATGTTCCTGGTGGTGACGAGGTGGATGAACTTTGAGAGGATGTCCTGACCTCCCTGACGACCCGCGGGTGACAAGTGATGGTCGGTCCTGACCAGAGTCACCCCCTCTACCAGGGGGATGGTAGACATGTTGAGAGCTCTGTCTAGAGCTAGGTCTACCTTGCCTCTGACACAGGAAACGTCACTACATGTGTCCATGACTCCACTCCAAACCTGAGAGACAATCATAATTGTTAGATTTTCCATTTTCAAGATCTAACAGAGTGAACAGTATATGAACAATGCTCTCTTACAAATTTATAATCCTTCTGGAGGCTGAAGAAAATTTCAAGTTTAGTTTAACCCAGTTTGCATGGAGGTTGTTTTGTCACTTACTATTTAATTGATTGTTATATAACTTACTTTTAAAGTTAATTTTAAAATTGTTTTACCTGTGTTATCATTTAAACAAATAGTAAAGCACATTATAAAATCCACCCCAAAATAGAGAAACATTTAGTTGATATCTGTCCCCTCTAAACGTCATTAACATTAAACATTAGACAGGTTTTACATTATTATAGAATGAGGATTCTAAGTCTTCGTGTAGGGGTTATTTTTTACGGAAAATTGTTTGTATCACTACATATTAGTATCTCATTAACTATCAGAATATTTAGAGAAAAAAAATTTAATTAAGTGGAACTTTTGTTTTTATTGAAGTTATGATCTATCTAGTTATTTTAAACCTTAACCAACGATTTTCAACATATCGGCCAAACTCTATATCTCCCATCGAACCCCTTGCAGTGGTTGTAAGAAGTTTTTTTATGTTTTTTTTTATTTTAAAACCTAACTTTTTGGGGATATTAGCAGTGGAAATTGTTATTCTTTACGATAAATATATTGGGTAAAACTGCTACAGTTAAATTAAAAATATCAAAGGGCGAAAATGGTTTTGAATACACTATTTAAACATGCTTTCGACGAAAATCTTTGTTTTTTGGCAAACAATTATCTGGGTTAAGCTGGGTTTTCCTAGACGCGGAGTCGGCCAGCGGAGAGAGGAACGCAGAGAGCGGAATTGAAATTAACATGGCATTCCGCTCCGCTGCTAGGAAAACAGTAACATTAAATTGCCTAGACAAGTGGAGTCCGCTCTCCGCGTTCCTCTCTCCGCTGGCCGACTCCGCGCCTAGGAAAACCCGGCTTTTACCAAGTAGTTGTGTGTAGTGCCATTGACTATTCAATGGTAGTGCTCGCCTTCAAATTTGAGGGCTGCTAGTTCAATCCTAGAGTTGATTCTATGCCTAAATGACATTTATTCATCAGGATATTAAATACTGTACTAATACTATCTAAAAATATGGACCTACAGTACTATAGTGGCCTTAACAATAGATCGCAAAAATGTCAATAGTGTTGAAACACAAAACAGAATGTAGGTATTGAATAAACAGCAAACACTAAAATTGTCTTCAGTTGATTCATAACCATACCTATAAGGAAGTTTTAATTTATGGTTAAAATTCGTCCTAATTGTCGACAACACGATAGTCATGCTAGCCTACCTACCGTCACGCCTAGTAAAAATCATGTGGATGAAGATACGCAGTGAAGAGTTTATCTTTTATAGGAATAGTTAAGAACACGTTGGGACTCGCTGTAAAGAAATAGTTATTTGTGTAACTAGTGGGAAAAGGCAGTTTGCACTCGTGTTACACGTTATATTTTTCCTACAGTTACTATGTATAAATCATATAAATAATTAATCTTTCAAACACTCTACAACACGTTTTAAGTTAGGTTAGTATCTTGTCAATCGTTAAATCCAAACATTGAACGAAATGTGTAACGCTGCACCAGCTGATCGTAGTCGTAATATCTTTAAGTGTTGCCAACTTATTTTCAAGCTGATAACGTGCATAATACGCTTGTTTTGTGTTGTTTGGTTGGAATACTGGTGTGTGCCATAGTAAGGCTTTCTGTACTATAATCTGTGCAAGAAAGCCCTACTTTTAACGTTGACTGTAGGAAAAGTTTATTTTTTCAATGACCGCGTTCTATTTTTGTTTTACACGCGTTTTCTTCGTGTTAAATCACAGTTAGTTACAATGACTAATGATGAAAACGTTCATGTTTTGTTGAGTAAAAAATTCTTAGGCTGTTTTAAATATAATCAGCTGTGTGGCAAGGTAGGTAGAATCATAGACTAACCAACACGTATGTTGTATCTATCATAGAACTTTTAGTGTGTTGAGATAAAACATGAATGTACTCATATGTGAATTGTAGCTAAATTACTTTCAATATTTATTAATTACTGTATTTTCAAAAAGAATATTTAAATTTAATGAAATATAAATTAGTGAAGAAGAAAAACTATATTAAAAAATAATATTCTAAAATTAAATAGTGTCTAGGTAGGAAATATTTCTTTTGTACTGTACAGTGTCCAGGTGTGAAGTAGCATTGTTGGAAGAAAAGCTAAAGAAAAGGAAGAAAATGGGCTTGTTGTGGAAGATATAGATAGAGATGGATGTGGGAGCCAAGTCTCCAGTGATTTAAATATTCAAAAGTAAAAATTAACATTCAGAATACATATAAATATTGAATATAATGAGACATAAAGAAAGAAGATAATCACTATTCAACAAAAATTGGTAATATCAACTTCAATTAACACTTCAAAAACTCATCATCAATTTCCAACCACCATCACACCATTGTGAATTGACTAAATTCAAGTGACTTTCAAATTAAGAACTTATAGCCTAAATTTTTTGACTCTCATTATTAGCTTATCTCATATTATTTAGCCTACTTTAGTACTGAATAAATTAAGTTAATTAGCCTATCAGAACTTCATACCCGGCACGAACCAACCCCTAGATTAAGATCGTTACTCTCCAAATTGTTATCTAGCCTAGCCCATCAAAAACCTAGACCAAAATATAATTTCACTGTCATAGCCCAATGAGATTGTTGTAATAACTATAGAACCTAAATACATTTTATTGTAACTTTATTGTAATTTTATTATTTATTTAAGTAAATTTATATACATGAAATCCATAAAAAAGAGGAGTAGGTTGCAGTGTCGAAATATAAACTAAGTAGGCTACATTGAAAAACTGGGACATTCATCTTGTAGCAATGGAGACCAACCAATAATTTTTTCCAAAGTCATGTTTCTTAATCAGCAATTGTTGTAAATCAATGGAAAATAGGCTATGCCTAATATTTTTTTAAACTATAAATTCTAACAAAAACTATGCGTTAAAAAGATACTTTTGACTAGTGGGGTAAACTAGACCCCTTCATTCAACCCGAATATTCGTTTGTACAGTATATACCTAGATAAATTAAGCATCAAAATGGTTTCCATCTAGTTTTGATATAAATACGAACCTATGTTACCGTCACAGTAACTAGATGCAACAAGTATTACACCGCCAAAATCAATAATGAATTCAAATCCAAATCAATAGGTTTTTCCATTTAGTTTAGTCCTATAAATGCTGACAATTGATATTTTGCCGTAGTGGAATATTCGATATGGCACGAAATTAATAGTGACAGGCTGTTTTACTAATTGGAACTATTATTTTGGCGAAATCAGCTGATGAATTTCCAGATTTAGAATAATTAAAGCTGTAGTGTCTCCAGCTGATTCTTTAAGGTCTCAAAATATAGAACTACTTTTCTTCAGCCCCGCATGTAGTGAAATCAGCCTCTTAAACTGCAACAAAAATAGTTTTTTTTTATATACACTAAACAGTATAACACTGACCTTGCTCCAGTCCTGGGAGGCTGCCGCCAGACCGAAGAGAAGCGGAAGCGCGGCAACAGCCATGTCTGCAGCGAGCCGAGCAAACACCTGGTTATAAGGAGGTGTTTTTACACCGGAAGTTGTCATGTGTTATCTGATAACAACCATCCAGGTCAGTTGAGGCTGGGGTCTACTAACCGCGCCCACTGCTCACTGCTACATCTAGCTGCTAACTGGGCCTAATTTGATGGTGAAAGCGTTTACACTTTTGTTTACGGAATTGTTGGTTTTTCTTCGTATTTTCCTCCTGCTGTTGTGTGGTCCATTAGCTGCATGTATGCAGCCGTGTCATGTCTGTTTTAATTTGAGATGTTTTCAAAAAAACAAAAAAATCATTATGATGTGGTGACCAGTATTCCTTTTTGATTTGTGAGTTAAAACCTCGCATGAGTATTCCTCTCGCGTTTTAGTAATACAACATGGTTTAGAAAGAAATTGCAAACAGTTGGTTACACTTTTCAGGTGTCAATTAGATGTCCACCTTTTGTGGTTGAGTCCATTTTACAATTCCTGCCTTTTTGCTATCCAGATTTTAATCTCTTTCTTAAAGTCTTCCAATGTACGTCCCACTTGCTCATGGCACTAAGAATTGTTGCCACTTCCACAAAATAAGGCGTAATAGATCGATAATTTAAGTTACATAAATTATTTATGTACAGACATTTGCATAATGCTGCTTCGTTTATTAATTTATTGTGAACCTTTTAGGGGTTGAAGTTCAGTGTTGCCACCAACTCTGAGTGAAAAGTCCCTAGATCAAGGAAAGTTTGTCGCTAGAAATCCCTAGATATCCTAAAATGTCCCTAACTATGTCCCTAGTCTTAAAATTATGGCAATAAAGTAAAGAAAAACTAGTTTTCAGCATATGTTGTCATCGCACTATAGTATTCAAATGTTTTAGAAAATCTTTACTTTGATATCTGGCCCACTGGATTATCGAACAATAAAAGTATCGATTTAACCAATAACCAAACATTAACTAACCAAAACCCAAACTCAATCGATAATACAATGGAGTTGGATATCAAAATTCAAAATACCGGGTGTCCGAAAAAGAACTGAAACATTTTAAAGGCATATACTGATACCAAATAAGAGACTATGTTGAATGTTTTATATATGTATTTAAAGCTTAATTATTTAAGTCATAATTATTTCCGATGACTTAAAAGAGTAAACTCAAAGATAATGTAATCAATCACTCCATTCCAGTTATCGAAACTGAAAACGAACGCTCTTGTGTGTATGTGTATATCATGTGTTTACTATGAACAGCTGTACAAATTATACAAATTATTCGTCTGTTCAAGTAAACAAAATAATTTTTTCATAAGAAACAGCACATTGGGATTTTGATGGCCTGTGGGGCAAAGCCCCAGGACTTTTACTACAGGAATTGGTGGAAGGGGGTGTCAAATGAGCTGATGTTAATTAGTCTATTCAACAAAATAACAAATGTTGCTGGCAAGATTGTTCTGGTTCCAAAACTATAATAATTCAAAATCTTGTGTCAGGTTCAAATTTGAAGCACTATAACCACTTGACTACCAGAACAGACAATTACAACCAAAATACTGATGTGTGTCCAGAATATTGAGTAGAACTACAGAACTGTTCTATTTAAATTTCTTAGTAACAGTTGAGTAATGTCATCTACTGACATTTTTAGATCATTTTGCTAATATTTCAGCAGAAAAACTCACTAACTCTTGACTTGAAACAATAAGAGCATGAAGTAAAATTACTGTCCAAATTGTAACATGTATGAACCACGAGTTCATAATGTGAAATTCATGAAGAGTAAAACCACTGGGCAGCCGGATGTTGAGATAGATCCGCTGGGTGAACCAGGAATTAATTAATAGGTCATAACTAGCAGTGAACACCCAACACTGCAACAAGGTGATGTGTAATTGGTCAGGATTTAACTTTAGTACAGTAATTAGTAATCCAAAGCTGGGAATTTATTGTAAAATAACTAACAACTCAGTGTATTACAAGTAAGTGTATTTCTTACAGATGTAATAAACAGTAGTTGGGAGTATGTTAATTAATTCGGAGGCTTGTACAGTATTTAGCATAAATTAGCTAATCCGCTATGGTTAAAAACCATTAATTAAAACGTATTTGTACCGAGTAGGCTCTATATCTTGTACCTTAGCATCAAAGATAACAATCGAGTAACTGGAAATTATGTAGAATAAAAGAACAAACAGAGCCATTTGTGCCTTCAGTGTACTTAACATAATCTAGCGATCAAGTTTTAGTAAAAAGCAAATTGAGAATTTAAATTCAATGTTGAAAGTGTAAGAATTGTAAGGCTGTTAAACATTTAAAACATTTGTAATAAAATGTATAACAAATTGCTAGTGAATAAACAAAAATGTTTGAGAACGATCTTGAAAATTAGATGCCTGGAAACTGTAGATATTGTATTGTAAAAAGGTTAAAATACCTGTAACTGCCTTGTGATTCATCTACTCCTATAGATATTGATCTAGCTAGAATGAAAAACAATAAGAAAAGCCAATTTACAGTTTAGTGAGCCCTGCTATCAAATTATTCTTGGGATTTTTTTTACTATGATATTTTATATACCTGTGACCTAAACTAGGCTATAATTTACAATAATATACATATTTCAGCCTAATTTAATTTATGGTTGTACTCATTTAGTTGTTTTATGGTGGTTTTTAAAGAGAAAAACAGAGAACGAAGGAAATTATGTAGTTTAAAATTGTTAAGAGGGGTGAGTTGTTTTATTTTATTGTAAATCATCAGTATTTTTATTTATATTGCTGCTATAAAATAATTCATTGTTTGGTTCTTATAGTGACTTTGAGCTTATCTATCTATGTACTTAATACAATAAAGGGTTTCTCTGTAATATCCCTTTACCAGCCGTTCTACTTAACCAATTGTTACGATTGATATGTTATTTTAAGGTTTATGACCTGGTGCGGATGCGAATTTTTACTAAAAGGTAATTTCCCCCATTCCCTTTCGTTCGATTTACTTTTAGAGTTTAATTTTAAATATTCAGTTGGAAGCTGAGCTGACTAACCTAATGTGCATTGTAATTAGGAGGCTTGTACAGCTAGCTTAACAAAAACCAAAAAGCTAGCTTAACCTAGCTTAACAAAAACCATACTGTATGCTGATGACACTACTTTTGTATCAGTTAGCAATCATTTAGATCTACTTAAACCTTTAGCTGATGGGGCTTTAAACAAGGCATCAGTGTGGTTTCAAGAAAATGGGCTTCTATTAAATAACGATAAAACACAGAATATTATTTTTAGTCTCAGGCCTGTTAACCTTGAACTGCCTAATAATGTAAGTTGTGTTAAGTTTTTAGGCATTTATCTTGATAATAACCTTCAGTGGGACAATCACATCGATCATATAGCTGCAAGATTGTCCAGAGTGGTACATCTCATTAGACGTCTTAAGTATTTTGTTGACTTTGACTACATAAAAATGGCCTACTTTGCATTTTTCCAAAGTATTTTCCGTTATGGTCTTATCTTCTGGGGAAACAGCTGCAAAATTACAGATATTTTAATCATACAAAAAAAGGTGGTTAGACTAATTGCAAGTTCCACCCAAGACGCTCATAGTAAACCTTTATTCCTCGAGTTAAAAATTCAAACTGTTGTTAATTTGTACATTTTTGATCTTATGTCTTATGCTTTAAAGAATCTATCAACTTCAATTTTTAACAATCAAGTCCATACATATAATACAAGAAGTAATTGTCAGATAAACAGAACATTTAATAGGCTGAGTAAAACATTGAAAAGTCATGTTGTTATGTCCGATAAGGTATTTAATAAATTGAGTAAGACTGTTCAATTTTATCCAGGTAGACATTATTTATTTTTAAGTAAATTTTATGACTGGCTCTTAAGAAACCCTTTTTTTCTATTGACGACTTCATGGCCGTAAAGGAAGTTCAGTTTTAGACTCATTGTCAGTGCCTAGGTTAGTTTATATTGTTGTTAATATTGGTTAGTTTATATTGTTGTTAATCTTTTATCTTAATTGTCTATCAGCGTTTGTTATACTGTTTTTATCTCTTGTTAGCAGGACCTTGTCTACTGTTTTTTATATTTTAAATGTCCATCAACATTTGTTGCAATTGTTAATTTTTATAAATTTTTATCTTAATATCTGTATTTTGTTGTTGGTTCATATAATTAATTTATTCTTTGTTAAATTTTCATATTTATTTACAAAATGTATTTATTGTTAAATCACACTCCATACTGTTGGTAATCCACAGAGCTGACACAAAAAAAAAAATTAACATATTGGACATGTTAGTTGTAATGTCTAGCCTGACTGTAGCCATGCTATATACACATGACAATTGTCAATGCATTTTTGTAATGTCCAATGACAAATAAATATTTCTGATTTCTGATTTCTGATTTCTAATTTAACAGCCGATCCTTCAACAAGGAGACGAATACTAAAATAAGTTAACCAAGCTATCAGTAATATGGACGTTAGTCAATTGATTTTTGCATGTCTACGTGATTATAATATATTATGAAAATGTAATTAATTTTAAAAATCAATTATTACTGAGGTAAGAACCAGCTTCATGGTAATGATAGTAACCATACTAGCTTAAGAAAAAGTCAGAACAAGCATAACCACTCACTCAATCCAATCCAATCAGGGCCAGGGCTGAAGCGAAGCTGAAGTAAACAAAAACAAACAAACTAAACTATAACATAACCTGTATGTTTTACGAAACTACGATCTCCAGAATTATTTTCCAATTAAAACTGATTTTTTAACACCTAAATGTTAATGTTATCTTTAAACAAAAATTCAAATAGTTGACAACTTTAATTTTAGGAGAAGTTGATCCGTCATGAAGCTTTTCTCATGGGTAAATAATTAATTTGTGATGTAGGCTTAGTGACCTTAGTGTAGGCTAGTTAGCCTAGTTGAAAAAATAAAGTAGCCCAGTTGCAAGAATATAAGTTAATATACAGATTTTTTACCATATAAGTTATATATCTCTAAAATATGTTGAGTGCCCGGGTACAGTTTCTTAACTGGGCTATGCTAAT